ACTTAGCATTCCTTAACCGAGGGTCTGAGCAGCTCTTCCTGGGTCTTGGAACATTGCTTCCTGTGCCTTGAGTGTGCTTCCCACTTTCTTAGACTAGTGAACTCTTGTCATCTCTCCAGATAGTTCAAAACTCACTTCTTTCAGGAAGCCTTCATGCGTCCCTCTCCCACCTGCCCCACATGAGTTCTCATCTCTCCCATTCATGATGTTGTCTGTCATGCTGATCATGTATCTCTCTGCTAAATTGTGGGCAACTTTAGACCAAGGATTTCCCCCCGTTCCTTCAATTTCCACTAGGAGTTCCTGGCATAGGGGCTTAATAAATATTTGTTAAATGAGTAAATTGATAAATGGAAGTCCCTAACCCTTGCACATTAACCAAAAGGGTGCCTATCTTAAATTCCAAAAGTGACTTAAGAATTCCATTGTGAGGGGCACCTGGGTGGCTCAGTCAGTTAAGCGTCTGCCTTCCGCTCAGGTGATGACCCCGGGGTCCTGGGATCCAGCCCCAGGTGGGGGGGGTCCCTGCTCAGTGGAGAATCTGCCCCTGCACCTCCCTCTCCCACTCCCCTCCCGCAGCCCCTCCCCCTGCTCGTGCGCTCTCAAATAAATAAAATCTTTAAAAAAAAAAGAATTCCATTGTGAGCATATGGATTATCTACTTAATTATTCACATCCAAGTTTTAACTGTAGGGCTGCTGTTCTGTGTCTAGGGAGTTTCTGGTTTCAGACCACCTTTCTCAGTCAGTATCCAAGGGAGCATGGGGGAGAAATCAGTTCAATGTCAACCTCAAAAACAGAATGACTTAAAGGAAAACGCATCAAAAAAATCAGATAATTCTTTTAAAGTCAAACTTAAATGATACTCTTACGTGCTTTCTGGTTTAAAGTATGATATTTCTGTTATTTTAAAGTGTTTCTGTATTTCTTTTATTACAAGAAATGACATAGAAACAAATGAATTATGGTGAATGGACATAAAATTTCCGTAAGATTATTCAGCTTGGATAGAAGAGGCTCTTGGAGGGGAATCTTAAGGGGACTGAGAAGATAAGCTGGTGATGGCTGGAAAAATAAGCAAGGGTGACACTATGAAAGGCAGGGAGAAGTTTCAGCCACACTATTAAGTTTGAACTTCATCCTAGAGGAGATGAAGAGCCCCTGTGAACTTCCAGCAGAAGAACGATGTGTTCAGATCAACCTCTTTGCATGTCAGCGTGCTAGATGTACGTGAGTTACCTGTGTCTGCTGAGGCCAAACCAAGGATGGAGGAGACAGACCGAAAGACATTTGTAAAGAAGGAGTATCATTTGGTGACCAATCCCATATGAGGTGTGAGGAAACTCCTTCCTTCGAATGTTTTTGATAAAACGATTTGTATAACCAAATATTTCTATTTTCTTTATAGCTTGATTGTAAATTTGGTACCAGGTCAAAAGTGTGGATCTTATTACTAGCCATCCCCTTTAGATGCAGAAGAGAGACACTAAAGAAAAAAAAACTGAAAATGGTATGATCCTAAGGTGGGTTTTTTCCCCCTGATTTATAAGAGGCAGAGCATTTCCAACAAATCTAATGAAACTGAATTCTAATCAGGAATAGGTTTCTCATGAATCAGAGATTTTATTTTGCTCCATTGACTGCTTAAATTTTCCGTGAGCCTTTGATTGAGAAGCCAGTGCTAAGACTCCTGACATCGGGCACATGGCCATTGATTCAACACAAGATAACACAAAAAAGGGGGCCTAAGAAAATTGATCAAAGTATAAAGCTACCACAGTCTACATTAACAAAGATTTTAATACACACTTGACCAAAAGATGCATACAATGACTACTGAATCTCCATTCACAGGCAGCCAACGAAATTATGAATGAATTTATTAACTTCAAACAAAACTTCAGGTTGTACACTTAAAAAATTACAAACCATTTAAAAATGAAAATTAACAATGGAAGCAACAATGACTATAAAATATGATGGGATGACTTGAAAGAAAGGTTCAAGTATTGTTTGTAAAGTTCTTCAGACACTGGAGTCTTTGAGAAGTTTGTGCATTTCCCATCTTTGCATAGTAAAAACAAAAACGAAAACAAAAAACATACTACTTGGTAAAACTCCACAGCTCTATGTGATTCATGTTTCATAACATGCACCTATGTGTACTGCTCATTTATCTAATAGGAGTAGCACTAATTCAGTGGGCTCATGCAGTATCCCAGGTGAGCAACGAAGTTAGCGCACACCTCCTCATCCAGGTGTCATTAATTAATGCAGCAAAGAAGAGCAGATGAAATGGGAACTTGTCACCACTTAACACTAACTCTTGTTGGGTAACAGTGAGACGGCAATACGCTTATGCTTTGAGCTCAAATTAATAAAAAGGACTACTCTCACCACAAAAATCAGCAAACGAACGGCATGTGCAAGAGAAAAGACAGCAAAGAGTTCAGAAAGACATAACCGAGTACCACCAAAAATAATTATAATCCATTGTTTACGGTTGGTATGGGTGCATTATCTTTCATCTTCATACACAGGCAGCTTAAAGCTTGTGTATTTTACATATACACACAGATAATTTAACATTGGAACATAGGTTCAGTTACCTAGGAGACTGCCAGTGTAACAAACAGTTACACCGACATTTGCCATTATGTACATAATATTTGGGGACCACTGTGGTCTGATTTAAAACGTAACATCGCACACTTACAATGTTGTCTGTGAAATGCTCGAAAGTTAATAATGGAGATTTAAGTTGTTTTGTAACCACCATGGTTTTGGTTCTGTGAAGTCACCCGTGGTGCCTCCGGAAGAGCAGGGAAATGTGTGTGGTGCACTCAGGAACAGGTGGAATTCGCCAGGGAGTAGGATCTAGCAACAAAGACAATATAGTGACAGGAAGAGATGCCAAGTAATCTGAGTTTCCTCTGGGCTGAAAGGGCCGTTGCCACTAGGTGGAGGGGTACAGCCTGTGTCTCATGAAGCCAAGAATAAGGCTGATAAACCATGTAGATAGCCCTGTTGTTACAATATAAATATACAGCTAGTTCTAGAGAAAGACTGCGGACCTGGGTAGCACCTAGTACTCAGAGAGCAGTAACAGGATTAAGATGTTAGGTGAGTTCAGCATACTGAAATTAAGGTTTCTGCTCTATGACTGTGATACTGCCACAATTAAATATACCCGGGGGGGAGAAAAAACCCCACAGTTTTAAGCAGTACACTTTTAGCACATTATCGCAAAAACTGTGAGACTGGTGTCATGAATCTTGCTGGAAAGGGACTGAAAGCCAAATCTAGCAACTCATTTGGTTGTCATGAAGTGAACAGTAGGATGGCGTGTCCCGTTCCTGAAAAGGGGACGTTAGAGAAGTGCAGGTTCTCAGGGTGGGGGCTTCAGGAAAGCTCATCTCTAAGTGGGTGCTGACTGAAGGACTCACGTACAAGTTTCTACATTCAAAACCAAGTCAGGACCAGATTTCTTTATTCATGTATATACTGAACACTTGAACGGAAGCTATCTTGATCCTAAATGGAAGAAGAAAGCGGTGCCGGTGAAGGAAACTCGGAGGGACGTGGGAACCCAGATTACATCTGCACATCTGCCTGGAGGCAAAATTAGATCACGAATTTGTGAGTAGTAGAATCCCATCACAATCCAGAACATCCCACAGACCAGTCACACACTACGGGCCCCCAACAAGATTTGTGGAAAATGCAACACACAGACGTAAAGCCCACGAGAGCCACGCTCACGGGAAAGCAGCCACGGCTTCTGCGTCCATTAGCAGCTTGCCGCTGGGGCTCCACCACCTGTATCTCGAGGCGGGAAGATGAGGCATGAATGAGATATTGACAATAATCGATGTGAATAAAATGAAAAGCCTAACTTCCCCCCCACACCCAGTTTTTTAACATTGAAAAGTTATTTTTTAATTTAAGGCTTTAAGTTTATCCTCCTTTCACATTAAAGACAGGGAAAGAAAACTGTCAAAAACCAAAAACGCAAATCATGAGCTTGGCACTTTTGTGATTCATACGAGAGGGTGTCTACTTTCTTACATTATATACATACATTTATAATGACATCAAAAAATGTTAGACTTGTCAGTACATATATCTGCATTTACATAATTTTTGTGTTTTTAATATGGGTTATTTAGTTGTTTGTGTCCCCCCTGCCCCGCTTTTGCATATTTTTGGTTTCAAGCATTTCATTTCGTTCAAGCATTTCCTTGTTAACTTGCACCTGTTTTGTGCCCAAACTCCCTGCATCTGTGGCTACATCTGTCTTTTTGAAGCAAGCCTCCAAATCACTGAACAATGCATTATCAGAGAAGAGAGAGAGAAAACAGTGAAAAGAACCCAAAAGATGGGGAGCAAACAATAAACTCAAATCTACAGAGAACCTTTACAAGAAAAATATTCCGGTACAGACAAGTGAAAATGATGTGTCAAAATCTCTTATTTCCATATTTACATTTATAAAAGAACTATACAATAGCATCATTGTTCAAATTCCAGCTCCCATTTCCAAAGGATGCTTGGTCCAGGCAAACACACGAGGGGAAAGGGACTCAACAAGAGCAGGGGTCCGTGGAGTCTCTCGTGGCCCGGTATAGATGAGGGGGTGAGGGCCAGGCAACCTCCGCGTGTTCCTGGGCCATCTTCACCTTGGGAATTCAGCTGCAGGTTTTGCTGTGGATTGGCTTGCTAGCTGCTTGTTGCAGATATGCCATGCGGATTTTACCCTTTTGAAAATTAGATCTTCATGCCACTGGAGTGTGTCATTGGTAGGAAAAGAAAAAAAAAATCATGCCAAATCATTTAGAAGATATTATGTGCCAGCAGGCTGAGGAAAGGAAAAAAATCATTTGCTATTTTTTAATGGTTCTTTTATTGCACTTAATTTTTTGTTGTTCCTTCTTCCTTTAGTTAGAAAAAAAAAAACGGTTCTGAAATAGTTCTTTTTATAACATTGTCTTTTATCCCCTTTTCTTGACAGGTGGTGAGAGGGGTTCTTTGAAATTATTTCCCCAAAGCACAGTTTCCTTTTACCCCATCCCTGTCCCCCAACTTCAGTCCTGTGGTCATTAACCACGCAGCGGTCTTGCTTACAGACTTAACAGTTCCAGCAAGGGTGCAGCGGGTATGTCTCACCCAGAATCCAACAGTGTGAGGCACCGCTCACCCGCTGCCACGGACTCAGATGGGGCCTTGCTGAGTGGGATCGAACCTCCTCTTCTTGACATTTCTTCCAGAGATGCAGGCAGAGAGGGAAAAATCCACACTATTAATCAGATCATGATGAGAGGAGGGTGATGATAATGACAACAACACTAGTTCCAGAGCAAAGTAATCAACTCACACGGGGGCAGACTTCCCAAAATAACTGGAGGTATAGAACAGCTCACACGTTTGAATGTCTTTACAACATCTCCACTAGAGTACAGCCATTTGTAAAGACCAAAAGAAGCTTCGAGTTGTGCATTTTAAATCCCTGAAAGCCTCCGCAGTCCAACTGGTCTCTTATTTCGGAAGTAAAGGACATGGGCTAATTTTAACCAGACGAACATGACAGGAAGGGTTCTTCCGACATTCCAGGGGGCTACTAGGGGAGCTCCGCAAAACTCTGAAGGGCTCCTAGCTGCCTCCTTCCACCACTTGAGAGTTCTTTATCAGTGGATCGGCCTTCGCCATGAGGGCAAAGAGCTATGTTCTACCCAGTTATCTTGCTGCCTTGATGTGTGAGCTCTTACTCCACCATGGAACAAGCATTTTTCATATCTAACAAGTTGAAAACCAGAGTGCACGGTAAGACGGTACACTCCAAGGAGAATGGACACAGGCTCGGGTTAGTTAAGCAAATGCAGCAGTTTAGCTTAGTGGAAATAAGCAAGTTAAAATGCCTTGCTCACAGTGTCCAGTCTCCTAAAAAGTGGTTCCTATGTTGAGAAAGAGAAAAAGAAAAGAACCAGCAAGACATTACAAGGCAACAACAGAAGTTGGTTGCAACCTCCCCATGGTCTGGCTTCATGTGGGGCATCAAGCAAGGGGGCTCATGCATTTAGTCTGCGCACTGGGCGGGTGCAACGCTGCCACCAGGCATCATGCAAGACTGGAGCCCGAGGAGTCCCCGAGATCCCTCTCTCCCCTGCCCACTCAGGGCCGGCTGGACACCCTTTCAGCCCTAAGTGCCAAAAAATTATAGTGTGTTCCTCCCCTCCACCATGTAATTCAAAATAAAAACAATACCAAAGCTCAAAATATGTATAAAGGCATCCCGCAAAAGTTCTCATTTCTCCCAAGATGACCACATTGATACTTCTCTTTTGAAAGAACAAAAATTGAAAAAAAAATAAATCTTTAAAGAAAATCTCTTTTCTTTTAAAAGGTTTCATTAAAAATGGCTTCATTAATGGCCTAAGCCTGTGGTTTGTTGGCCTAGCAGATAATCCACTGATGCAAACACTATTTGCAACAGGGCTACTTCCTTTTATCCCCAGCCCCTGTCACCTCCAACCACCCTCTTTTGAAAGCAGGCATTATGGCTGCTTTGGGATCCAAAGGGGACATCTCCCATAATGCATCTGGCACAGAGTTCGTTTGCTTCAGAGCACAGCACCTGTGCCTACTACCCACACTCACAGCCCTTAAGGGTAAGTGTGTATGAAACAACTCTCCTCGTGAGTCAGATGGCGAAAAACAAGGACTGCCTGACCTTGCCAAATGACCCTGAAGGACCAGGGACTCCAACCAATTTAGCCATCTATTGCTGGAACTGGAGAGAAATGCGAAACTAATGTTCCCTCAATTAAAAACGAATATAGAGGAAAGATAGAGCCAGCTAGGGCTGTGCATGTAAATGACTATATTGCTCACATCTAAATTCCCTTATTCAAATTCAGGGAATGGCAGATAAATAGCCATGTCCGAGGTCTTAACTGCAATCCAGTCCATTTTTAAATGGAGATAGGACTTTCCATTTCAGCCTGGAATACAGTCAACCTCCAGTGTCCAAAAGCTTGTGCTCCAAAGTCAGTGTTGGAAGTTTAGATTGCATTATTTTAAAGAAAATCTATTTTACAGGGTGAATGCATTCCCAGGCCAGACCAGGAGGCCATGCCACCCTGTAGAACCCTGTATTTCTGCGGGAAAGTGGACTCTGAATAACAACAGGGCACTACACTTCCTCCACAGACATCCCAGCAGAAGGAAGGCAGGGCCCTGTGATAAGGACAGAGAGGGACCCTCCCGAGGCAGGCTGACTGGGAGGGCTCCCCACGTATCAACTGCAAAACTACCACAGTGACTTGTGAGAACTCACCATATACTGAGGACTGCCTGCCCTGAATTTTCTACAGGAAAAAAATCTTTTCTTTCCATTTTAATGTGAAAGCGCAACTATCACAGGTAGATGTTCGCTGCCTCCCTTCCACTAGTGTTTCATGTGAATTCCCTCCACTCACTAGAATTGGGAAGGCAACGAACTTTCTCATCATAACCCGTGAGGTATTTCTGGATCATTATACAATATTAGCATAACCCATAAGCTTTGCATTGACCCAGTTTTCATAAATCTTTATGTCTGAAAAACCTATACTTTTGTGTACAATGTATGTTATATGTATATACATCTATACAAAATTAAAACAAAGCTCTTCAGGTAACAACAGGCATCTCCGGTTTATAAGGCCTTTAGTTCTTTCAAGGCTATATATTTACCCACTGCTATCACCTTCTTCTCTTTCCACAGTGAGTCGTCACTCACCCTCCCTCAACCCCTCCTAGGCCACCTTTGACAGCGTTCACTTCCCTAGAGGGCTGAGTCAGGGAGCTGACCTTGGGTCTTCCTGGCCAGCCTGCTAGGTCTGAGTGAGAAAGTGCCTAACCCAGGAGCTACAGGACTTAAGGGAATTAGGCTCCTGTTTCCCACTGGGATATGGTCATGGAATTCAGATAAGCAGCAGCTTGGTTTTCCTCATAGAAACACTAGCTACAGTTGATTCCACTTCCGAATTCTACAAAAATCAGAAACCAAAGACATTTACTCTTTTGAGAAAACATAATTAGCAATATTAAATTCCTTCCAAATTTCATCCAACTTGACATTCAAAATTGCAACTTTCCTTGTGATAAACCCAGATATGATCCTTTACATATCATTTATGTGAGTACCTTTTCTTTAGCATGTCCTCTGAAATGGAACACAGCAGGCCAAACAGAATTGCTTATGGTCAAAATCAGGCTCAGTAAGAACTTGCAACCCAAGTAACTTCTCATAGAGAGGAAATCATGGTTACTATGCAGACTTATTAAAGTAACGCTTTTAATGTCAAGAGCAGCTCTGCCAAGCGTCTGACCACTGCTGCCACTGAATTACGTTGAGAACAAGTGGTGGGAAAGTGGGACGTGGTGATAGGACTCCATAGTCTGAGGCATGGAAACATGGCTGGAAGAGCTCAAGACTCATCCCCCAATCCAGTCAACAAACTATGTCGCTGTTACCCTCAAGTTCTTTAACTATTATCACCTAGAATTTCTCTTTCTGACCACCATCGCTTATGGTGTTCACATACTTCATAGTCATGTAAAATAACTGTATTGCTCCCATCTCATTCCTATATTCACATTTAGGGAATGTCCAATAAAAAAAAAAAAAACCACGTCCAGGGTGGGACCCGCAATTCTGTTCATTTTCAAATGGAAACATGAAATCCTCTTTTCATGTATTTGTTACCTTTCCTAAGATTTAGAGATGATGCTACTAAAATGATCCTCCATCTACTTGATTTTGCTAATGTCTAGTAAAGCAACAGCCCTAAAAATCAAATCAAGCAGCATTACTGTTCAAAACTGAACAGAGGCTGTGAGTCTTCATGAGTCAACCAGGACCAAGGCTTGCAATACTCTGCAGCACACTCCCTAGCTTTACTCTGTGTGTGCAGGTGATGGAGAGGGCTTGTAAATAGATGAAGATTTGGGGGGAAAAGTTGGACAAATCAGTGTGCCAAGAACCTGTCTTCATTTTTCACAGGATTTCTCAGAGTACTAATGCTCCAAAGACTGGGAATCCATAAACTAACCACTTCTGGAGTATGGGATTAACTGGTTACCACACATTACCCCATGTATCAGACTATGTTCAGTGAAATAACCTACCAAATAAAGCATTTTTTTTTCTTCTCAGGAGTTCTACAACATTGCTTATGGAAGTCTTGTTTGCATTAAGCAAAGCTTGCAGACTGTTATTCTGCTAGAAAGATGTCATCTAGACTTATATTGTTTTTTTATCACAATTATCTTGACCAAACTTCATTATCACTTATTCACAAGGTGCACACAGTCACACACACGCATGCACACTCACAAAAACTCATGCTTTTTACCACCTATTTCAGAGGAAATATGGCTTAAGAAAAAAATCTATGGAGAATGGCAGACATTGTCAGGGGTCAGAGCATAGCTGTTTGCTCATTTATACTTGAACGGGTCATGTATGGTATGACACTTCTTCCACACTTAAATAACTCGCAGTGTTCCACCCCAAGAAATGTGACTTTAGGAAAAAGCAATACTTCCCATGAGCAGTTAGTAAATTTTTCTTTAACCTAAAAGGTTATGGACCCTCCAAATCCTCAGGCGACTTTGCTACTTGCTTTGCTTTTCTCTTCTAGTAAAACACAGTTCCAGGAAGGATTTCCAATGACAGTATTTAGAGCAATCTCTTTTACAAACTATTTTCTACTTCTGATCCTAAATGACCCTCTTTTGTATTTACATTGAACTCAATGAAAAACTCAGAGACTTTCAGTTCAATTAGCAAATAACTTCTAGACCAATAGTCTCCAAAACCGCCCAAGTCAGGGGGAACCTAACCTGCATCATTGGGCATCCAAAGCCTTTTTTTGCAAAGTAGAAGTAGTTATTTAACGTTTAATATGAACCACATGGCTACTCTTAAAATCTAAAGCAAATTCAGATCCTCAGAGAACAACCAATAGTCATCACGAAGAGCAGTGGATCCCCCAAGTTTAAACTCCTAACATTCAAGAATTATTCTGTGCTTGCTTTTTTCTTTGCTTTAGGCCATAAGTATACTTCACATTATTATGTGCTTCCCTACAACATCTTCCTCTGCCGTAACTGTTAGGGTCACAGGGCATGGGAAGGGGCATTGGCTTAGCACAGCAGTACGCATGTCTACACAGTAGTCCCCACTCAGCAGTCACCAGAGGCTGTTTCTCACCTCACTAGGTGTCCATCTCCCCTTCCTTTTCTCTGTTCTTCTGATGATTAGACATGTCTCTCAGATATAAATAATCTGCACAGGGCCTAATCCACTTACATACACAGGGATAAAAGCTTTTCCATTTTTCCCCAAAGAAACATGCAATTCAAGCTGTGCACTAGGCCAGGCCACTGTTTTGAGGTCCTGCTACAGAACAGTGCTCTTGTCTCCAAAGGCCAAGATGGTCACAATTTGGCATTGTGTGTGGCTGGATAGCAGAAGATGCACAGGACTGTTTTCCAGGCCTTGAAACGGAGGCTTCCTGATGCCAAGAAGGCTTAAGCTTGTGCACAAGCCAAATTTATTTTTCTTGAAGCATATTGATGAAAAAGTTCAAGGGAGCGTTATGAAATAATAACAGATCATGGAACTACCATAATGCGCAATGACTTTTTTACAGTAATATGGCATTAAGAAAAATTTTTGCTTGAATTAGGCCAGCCAAAACCAAACAACAACAACAACAATATATATGTCTTCTGTTGTTGTTGTTGTTAGGTACCCTGAGTGACTCATTATCCGGGCAATGGTTTGTTAAAACCACAGTCAGAAATTCAAATTTGAGTTGCCCATTTTGTGTGTGTTTTTGAAAACATAATGATGCCAAAACTACTGTTTCAGCAAACAAGTTCAAGGTTACAAATATCTCTGTAGAAAGGAAGTACCGTCTGATAACAACTTTCCAAGTTGAAGCCACTCAACAATATGTAGGCTTACTCATTAAATCTTAATATGGTAACAAAATTAGCAGAAAATGTTGAATGTATTTAAATCATCATGTGGTTTGTTTTTCCTTCATAATCAGTTTCTAATAACATTTTATCTGGTTTCAATATTTTGAATTGGGGATTCAAAATGTAAAATAGCATAAAGTTCATAATGAATGCAATTATTCAGATAATCCAAGTAAAAAACTTCCTCTATTGAGTAACCAGATGGAGGCAAAGTGGGCTTTGAATTTAGGTAATGGTCTTATTTCCCACTTAAATTTGTTTCTATAGATCTGGTTGGAACTTAATTTATCACAGGGAGTATTTGTCAAAGGAAGTCTTATCTACAAATCATAATAATCAAGCCACCACAGTATGAAAAGATATAAAAATTAATTATCCAATGAATCTGAGCTATGAAAACACGTAAACCTGATAAGTTAGCTTTACTTTACAAATTTTGATCATAATTAAGGTTGATTTGTGAATATCTGCCATGTATATTTGAACAAACTTAGTTCAGTGATCAATGCAAGGTCCAAACTAAAATGTCACTATGGAAACATACCAGTTAATTTGCAGTTAATTAGAAAATATTTAAGTATCACAAAGCCACAGATCTCAAATTCCAATGTGAAACCAATTCAACTAGTTAGGGAATTAATAAAATTTTTTAAATCTATTTTTTATAAAATAATGAAGCTTTTCAAATCACAAAGCTACGTATAATGTGTTATGTGTGAAAAATAATGAACAAATAGTTACTTAGGTTGTGCAAACCTCAACATGTCAGTGGAACATAAACCAATTTTAAACAGATACAAAGGATTTATAGCCACTTATTTCCAACTATCTCTTTTCCCAATTATCCTGTATAAAAAACATTATCTCAGGATGTTTGCTCCTAAAAGCTGGAGTGTCTTCTCCTGAAGAACCTCTACTTTGTTCTCCTGAAGCTCGGGCACGTGAAAGACTTCTACATTTCCTGCTCTCCCACTAGCCTGAAGATGACATTTGAGGTTCCAGGTTTCTTCTTTCCTAACCCATTTCTCAATAAAAATAGTTACTTGTAGCAGTTTACTGTTAAACCTTGCAATCTTGTAGCAGGAACTCAAAACTTGGTTATGTAAGCAGAAAAGAGAAGTGCCAGAGCCACTGAGAAGCAGACATGCGCCGTTGCTTACTTAAATCCCCATCCTGTGCCCCCAAGGACAATAGCTGCTACCAGGATGGCACCAGCGATGGAGCCTATTATGAGATTGGTGGCACTAGGACCTGTGACAAAGGATCATGGGAAGAAAGTCATATGAGCCAACGACTGTTGTTACCACAAGGGAAAGGCAGTTAAGCGGTTTTAGGAAGTAAATACCCTGCATTAAAAAAAAAAATTGCTAAACACTTCAATCGCCTTTATTGACTTAGCTTAATTGCACTTCTGATGCTACTGCTTGGAGAGGAATTGCCTCTACGTCTAAAGCTTCTGCACCACTGACAATTAAGTTCCTTTAAATTCAACTTCCACAGAGTTCGAAGTGAATGCGCCCCAACGGCCGGCACTGCCCATCTTTCTTCTCCTCCTCCTTCCCAATATCATGAATCAAACAAGCAAAAGAGCACATCAAGAACACAGACGCATTAGAATTAGCTCTACCTGACTGGCCAATGAGGGCAGGAAAAGAGGGGGAAATATTCTAATCAAGTGCTCTTTCAAGCCCCACACCAAGTGTTTTTGTTTTTTTTTTTAATCTCCCACGTGGAAACAGTACACATTTAAAAGTCAGAAGGAGGTTACTAATAAAGATCTGCTCTTGAAGCTTCGCTCTCAGAGATGCATTTCTTCACTGTACGGATCCATACAGTGTTGAAACAATGGCAGGCAGTTTCCAAAGGCAAGAGAGGGAGGAAGCATAAAATTCATCTGGGGAATTCTGTGGGAAATGGAAAAAAGATTCTGCAGGTTCAATTGAGACTATCTTTCAAGTTCCCATTTGCAAGTTGAGGCTTAGAGATAGATTTTAAAAAGGGAGCAGAAAGGACAGCAAGACAGAAAACACAAGGTGGAGTTTCCATCTATTGTTTGAGTCAGAGGTGATACACACAGGACAGCACATCCTCTTCACTCACACAGGAAAATGCCTTAGCTCTCGAGTTTTCAGTGTAAGCAACATTGACTTTAGTACAAGAATTATTTTGAATATCACATCCTTCAGGATGCTAATACATAGGTACAGGGCTCCTAACAGCAAAATACTTCCAGTCCTAACTGAATGTCCTGTTCCTGAAGTCACAAAGCCACTTTTGGTATTTTCTCTAAACCCCTCGACTTTGTGAATATATTCATTTCTCTGTAAAAAATTCTCTTTTCTGCTCACATTGGTCCCCTGAACTGTGTACATAAATGGATGCCACTTTGAGCCCCTCTAAAATTGTGTGTATCACATGTTTTTAACTCAGAGACCACCCAGTGCTTGTGAGGGTGAGTAGAAAGGTGGGGGGACAGCTGCAGTGGGAGTTTGGGGAAGTGGTCTCTTCAGGCTCGTGGGCTCGTGACACGTTCTTAAGACTAACCACTGAGGTCCTACGGAACACACATCTCAGTGGCCTTCAAAAATGCACGAATAATAACAACTAGTAATGAGAGCAAGAAAAGCAGGCTGGTTACTCTGCATTGAGCACTTACTATGTGCCAGGTGTGGTTTGAAGCACGTGACAAATATTAGCTCATTGGATCCTCACAAAAACCATACGAGGTAGGAATTATGACTATCTCTGTTTAATAGAAGAAACAGTGGCTTCTAGAATGTAGTGACAGAGGCAAGGTTTGAAGACTGATTTGTCTTTGAAGCTTATGCTATAAATCAAGGGTCAAGAAGCTATAGCCCACTGGCCAAATCTGGCCCCACTTCCTGTTTTTGTGAAGAAATTTGATTGGAAGACAGCCACACTCGTCAGTGTGCATGTTGTTTACAAGTTGCTTTTGTGCTAAGACAGCAGAGTCACAAGGTTGTGGCAAACATCCTGTGACCTGCAAAGTCAAAACTATTTACCTACTGGCCCCTTACAGAAAGTTTGCAAACCCCTGCTCCTAATGAAACATTCCATTTATATGTATTTCCTTTCCACACTTTAATAAGGAAACACATTTTGAAACAAACACTGAGAAAATATTTATATTTCCGTGTACATTATGCTTTAGGCATGATTTGCACTTTACTAGCTCAGAAAACAGGCTGGGATTAGAATCAATACATAATTCATGAGAAATGATTCCTGATTTACAATTATAAACTAAGGAGTAGAAATAAAAGCCCCCACTCCCGCCCCCCCAAAAATTCCAAACACACAAAAAAACCCAAACCTTCTGTTCATGGAATCCTTAGTGACTAGATGAACATGACACTATCAGCTAAGCTAGGAAGTATTAAAACCATTTGTATTGTGCTATTGTGGATTTTTAAAAAATTATATTTATGATTTAGCAATTATGGCAAAATTTAGAAATCGAAGGAAAACAATCAGCTAATAAACAAAAATAGTGCATCAAGCAAGGATAATAAATAACAAATCTATTTTTAGAAAAAAAATACACTTATAGGGACTTACCTGTCACAACCAGAAATAGGCACAAACCAACAAGACTGGAAGGGAGGATGAAAACAAAGCCTGGTACCAAGGACCATGCTTTACAACGAATGCCTTGGGGTTTGCCTATGTCTACGGCTCAAAGGGAAAATTATTAAAATTCATCCCTTAGTTGGTACACTGCAGCACATCACAATTATGGTCAATAAATAATCTAAAAAACACCATTGGAACGATTTTTTTTTTTTTTTTTAGAAAACTACCTTTCTTCAAGGAGGAATTTCATATAAATGTATATGTAAAATTTCCCCTGGAAAAGGAATGGTACTTCTATATATAATCCAGTCAGCAGATCCAAGGTGAGATTTTACAAGACAGAGTTTGTTTTTTCTAAAGATGTTACCTCTACCATACTATTTTTTTTTCTAACAAGTAAAGAAAAACAAAATAGCTTTTCCAGTGTTTCTAGCTGCCCTGAGTTAACTAGCTTCACAGTCCCTACCAGTGGGATGTTGAGTGAGCAGATGCAAGTCTAGTCAAAGTCCTCCAAACCAAGGGAGAGAAGGTTCAGGTAATCTTCAACACAGAGCAGGACCTTCAGGCCTGCATCCCTCTTAACTGCTGTTTTAGTGCCTGGGTCTCCCAGGCCCCGAATGGAAGAGCATCCATGGGCTGTAATTACTGGGACTAAGGAGGAATGTGTGTAATAGGATCAACATGCCCATAGTTTGGACCAGTTGAGTAGAGGGTATTTGGTGATACTAGTGCTCCATCCCTGGGCCACTGGGAAGTGTTACCACCACCCCCGTGAACACAAAGACAGCACATGAAGGTTATTTCTGTCGTCTATAAATGTTCTCTGGAATTAGAGAGAGAGGGGAAAATCGCAATACTCTTTTGGTCTACAGATTTGCAACCTCATGAAAGCAATATCCCGTGGAGAACTGACAGCTATTCTGAGGATGTGAATCAAGGATAGAGCAACCTAAATAAAGGTGCAAGAAGAGTTTATATTTCTGTGAAGGATCAACAGGCAAGAGATACAGAATTTACTTATTAATGCACTGGCTATTTTTAAGACAAACCACCAGACAATTTGCAACTATTCACTGAAGGTTTTGCAGGTTTGGATAAATATCTCTTTCTTCTTCATACTGTTAGGTCCCAAATATTTATGTAAACTTCTAATTTGAATTATCTATTTTATGTGAAAAAAATAAAGGCAATATCCTACATATCTTCTTTAAAAAAATTAAGCCAAAGCTTCCCCTATCACTTTAATTGAGTGGAAAAGATATTAGTGACTATCATTCAGATTATCTTAAAAAGAAGCTACAACTGTTGATAATTCCTAGTTGGATATGCGGATCTATTTGGTGAAGATCACATTCATTAAAGGAATCCTAAAGAAACACTCATATAAAAGCTTTTTTTTGCCAATAAAAAATAATGAAAATAAAAGGTCTGTATCTTAAAATGACTTTTACAAGCAGAGGAGCAATGGAAGCTTTTGGACCATCATCTTAATTGTGAAGATATCATAAGCACCCCAGTATTATTTTATGCCCCACATTGTTCCAGACAGGAGAAGGTTCTTCACTGCACGAGAAAAACCACACGACACAAACACATCCAAATCACACCACAAGTTGCACTAGCATGGGAAATACATCAACAAGACAACACATGGTAGGGGCCAGGTACCAAGGGTCAGCTCACACACCAGGAACCAAACAGAAACACTCTGAAACTCACAAAGATGCTTACTCTATTCCCCACCCTGTGCCTCCAAAAATCACCCCCAGGGCCAGAATGGTGCCTGCCACAGCACCTATTAGCCTGCTTGTGGCCATGTTCACTGTGTGGAGGGAAAACGGAGATTTTTTTTTAACATAGGATATCAATTACACACTGATTTTGCTAACACACAAAATAATCTATGTAGGAAATGCTTTGAGAGTCAGTTAAATACTGACATATTTCCTTTAAGATTTGAAATGAAGGTCTACATATATGCTAAGGATATTATACCTGAGGATAATTTTGATAATTTTGAGGATAATTAAACTTCAAACTCCACAAACCCTTCTTAAAAACATCATCTCTTATCAATACTCTTCAACACATAAATAATCTAATTGGAGTTAGAGTTCCTACAAGGAAGGAGTTGGAATTAAAATGTCACTTAAATTGCATAACAGCAAGTCTGGATTTTAATTACAAAGTAACCAACCATTAGTATACTTTATAAACTTCTCAAACTGCAAAATATGCCTCAGATGCTACGTGTTTTTAAAATTCCAAACTTTTTATCCAATTTTGTGAAAATCCTTAAAATTTAAAACATAGTATCTTTAAAATTAAGTGTATTTTCACCTGGAAGAGTGTATTTCACATAACTCTGCAATGTTTGGGCCTCTGTCCTGGTAGTTGGGCATTTAGGTGTTTTTTGTTTACAGTTTCCAGGGCATAAACTATTCAATGAGAGAGAGTTAGGGTCGCCCGGAAACTCTGGACCGCCCAGCGGTAGATTACTGAGTGGAGACACTCCATCCCCGCACCTCACCCCTTTCATGCAGAGCTTTCAGATACTGCAAAAAGGGCCTGCAGTGAGCAGAGGTCCCCAAGCTGCTCTCCACACAGGCAAGATGAAGTGTAGTGTTGAAGCAGGAAGGCAGATTATTTAAGATTGA